GATACCAAGTACTGCCTGTGATTTCAGTGCCTGTGTGAGCTATGCCCTGGCACCAAGAGTGACCACTTTACTCATTATGCTGATGAGAACAGAACAGGACAAAGTTAATCTCTAAATGATGTATCAGAGTGAAGTGAAAGCCAGCTATTACAATGACACAGGGTGTGAACAGAGGAGGTGTGGTAACTGTAAGTGAGGGAGGAATGAGGTGAGAAAACTGAGTCAATACAGGGCACCTCCCACACCGTTAAGAGTAGTAGAGCCATACAGAGCTCAAATGTCCCCACATCTGGGCAGCCACTACCCCGTGACCTAGCAGTAGTTGAGTAAACATTAGTAATTTAAATGTTATAGTTCTGGGAGGGGAATTTTATATTTAATTTACAAATTTGTTTTGGTTTTATTCCAGAGTTGTTAAAAAGCTGTAACATAAGTTTATATCTGGTTTTATGTTTATATAGGGTAATGCAACATTTTAAAAGAAAATAAGCCAAGAGTGGGGAGGTGTAAGAAAATTCTGCCCTTAAGATGTGCCCTCACATTTGAGAATCACCTCACAGTAATAAGGGTTGGGGCTTTCCTATTTAAAACTCCGAACACAAGCACCTTGGGTCTCTCACAAGCACGGTGGTGTGAATAAACCTGCGAGGCCTTCTCTTTTTGAGAGCAGGCTTTGGTGGCAGAAAGGCAGGCTAAAGGGCTTGACGGAAAAAATGCAGCCTCAGTGCACTGGGGCAGGTCATTAAGCACCGGAAAACCTCTTCCCGTGCCTTACCTGTGAAAGCCGGGTAATCTGTACCTTCTTCACCTGAACTGCGGGTCCCTGGCAGTGACTCAGGGAAGCAGGCCCCCGGGCGACGAGCTGGCTCCACCAGCTGGTGCCCTGATAAAGAGCGGAGGCTGGTGGGCTCCCCGGCCAGACGGCCACTGGAAGCCGCCAAGCCCCTGCTTGCTCCGGGCCCCACGCACCGCACTGGGTGGTGGTGGAGGGTGTGCGAAGCACTGGTGGTCCTGCCACCGGAAGGCAGCTTTCCGCTCCTCGGAGGCACCCGAGACCGTGGGTGAGGCGGCAAGCAACGCGGTCAGCACCTCAAAACTGAAAACTCTCACAGTGCGTGAGGGGTGGGGAGCGCACGGGTTTCTCGCCAACTCTTCAAATTTGCGGAGGGGCTCCCCATGCACCAGGCCCGCGGCCCGAGTCCTAGGCTGCCGACTTTGGGGGGCCCCTGGTCTTTGCGAGCAGGCGGCC